CATAAAATGTGTATTATAGATATGTCATTTTCATTGAAAGCAAGTCTAAGAAGCGGTAGAGCTATTCTATGTACGCTATTTCTATGCTTCCCGTTTTTATGTTTCGTTTTTGCGTCTTTTACTTTCGGTTTTGTACACCAGCTTCAAATAGCTGAAAATACAATATTTTGGGGTTATGAAAAATATATTTCACAGCGGTTTAGATGGTACAATTATTCTCTACAATGAGCGATTTCCTTTTAGTGCATCTTTAAGTGAAAGTGAAAAAAAAATACAATGAAATATAGCTAGCTCTCCCGCTCTTGCTTCTCCTTCATTTTTAAAGAAATTAATTTGTTCAAAACTGTTCAACTATTGTCTTTCTCTCTATTTGAATCAACTACCCACCACATTTTATGCACTGCAGTGCTAGCTGTAGCTTATGATTTCAGTACAAGATTAATTCTCTGATCCTTTGATTGGGTGGACAACATTTCAATTCATTCTTTTTATACCTTTATTTAACTAGGCAAGTCAGTTAAGAACAAATTCTTATTTACAATGACGGCCTACACCGGCCAAACCCGGACGATGCTGGGCCAATTGTGCGCCGCCCTATGGGACTCCCAATCACAGCCAGTTGTGATACAGCCTGGAATCGAACCAGGGGGTCTGTAGTGACACCTCAAGCACTGAGATGCAGTGCCTTAGACCGCTGCGCCACTCGGGAGCCCCTAAATTCTGCAAGAGCTCTGATAGGTTGGACATCCTCCGGAAGTTGTCATAATTACTGTGTAAGTCTATGGAAGGGGGTGAGAACCATGAGCCTCCTAGATTTTGTATTGAAGTCAATGTACCAAGAGGAGGACGGAAACTAGCTGTCCTCCGGCTACACCATGGTGCTACCCCAGAGAGTACTGTTGAGGCTACTGTAGACCTTCATTTCAAAACAGTGTGTTTTAATAAATTATTTGGTGACGTGATTATATTTCGTACAGTTTTATCTAAAAAGGATAACTTTTTAAAGTTTCACTATTTTACATGTTATGAAATTCACTGAGGATGGTCCTCCACTTCCTCCTCTGAGGAGCCTCCACTGAGGTACATGTATTTCTATCTGGCTTTGCCAGTGTTCATGTTTGACTTCGGGAAGCCCTGATGGGGAGAGCGTCCACATGGGTAGGCTGTATTTTGTCTTCACAGTGCACATAGTCTATTTCTTGGGCCAGATTCAGATTTTGGATTGATATCAGATCTATTTTTTATTTATTTGCAGAGATTCATTTTTGTCCATTGTTTGTTTGTTTGTTTGTTTTGTAAGACCTTCTGTAAATCCACTCCTACCATTATTTTGAAAGCAGGCCCTAAAACCAAAATGTTTGCACGTTATCCCTTTCCGCCTCCTGCTCCAGCCTCAGCCCAAATGTCCGCCAGATGGCGCTATTATTCCTGATGTCATTTGTCTTCTGGCATCCAAACATATTATAATATACCCAGCCGGTGATACACTCGTGTCCCCCGGCGACCGGCTCATACATAAAACATTATCCAGCCTATAGTCTACATCTTTTTTAAAGTAGTGGGACTGCCACTCCTTTCGCATTTATTGAGCTTTATTAAAGAGATACAATAGTAGCCTACTGTTTTGGAAAGATGGGAAAGCTGGGAGGAGGTAGCTGATATCAAATGAAATGACTATCATCATTAGCTAATTATTTTAGCTTGTGATAGCCATATCTCGCATTTCCCAGCATCTTTGCAGGAACTAGTCATTTCTAAGCACTGCAGCCAGAGTGCGAGCCAAACAAAACAAACAAAGATTTACACACACACATGCCATTTCTAACTCGGTACAAAACGTGGATTTAATATATTTCTGAATATGTCCTTGTTATCGGAGTTCCACCTGCAACTGGACAAATATGTTTATAAGACACCTGTCCCTTCCGAAATGGGAACAAAGAAAGTATCGCCAAGTAAAGTTTCACCATCATTTCAAAGCCGTAATTATTTTGTTTTTTAAAGTCATTTAGCAGACACTCTTATCCAGAGTAACTTACAGGAGCAATTAGGGTTAAGTGCCTTGCTCAAGAGCACATCAACAGATTTTTCACCTAGTTGGCTCAGGGATTAGAACCAGCAACCTTTCAGTTACTGGCACAACGCTCTTAACCACTAAGCTACCTGCCCTCATTTTAAGGTCAACCCTGGTATGTGAACTGAACTCTTGTTTTTTTAATATTTTCAAAAGAAACATTGAACATCTAATAGTCAAATCATATAGCAAAAGCAGGTGAGCTGTGTCTACTCTTTTTGGCAAATTTCTGGTGTTTTTTGGTGGGAAAATGAGCGAGTCGAGCATAACACCTCAACCCTGTTACCCATAGATAAACAGGCTAGACATTTTTTAACTATGCATTTTTTTTTGTGAAGCTTGCGTTCAATTGCCACATGAGGGGAAGTGAAATGTCAGGCACCTGCAGCAGACCCATGGTTGGAAAGGCCCAGTGCAGTCAAGATGTTGTATAAATATAATCCACAGTATGAGGTTGGAATAATACAACATAAAATAATTTCACAACGCTGCCTGAGGAAGATTCTAGTAGTCGAAACGCGTTGTAGTTGTGCATCCTGATATCCTCCCATATGTATTATTTTGTAAATATTTACTGTTAAGAGTTCACTAAAGTTTATTGCAACGTACCGGCCGCCTACTCGTCTTCTTTCTTTGTATTATCTGCCATTTAGGGGCCTACCTTCCCACTGCCTTCTTCTAATGGTCTGAGGCTGTTTTTCATGGTTCGGGCTAGGCTTTTTAGTTCCAGTGAAGGAAATCTTAACGCTACCGCATACGATGACATTCTAGACGATTCTGTGCTTCCAACTTTGTGGCAACAGTTTGGGGAAGGCCCTTTCCTGTTTCAGCATGACAATGCCCCCGTGCACAAAGCGAGGTCCATGCAGAAATGGTTTCTCGAGATCGATGTGGAGGAACTTGACTGGTCTGACAGAGCCCTGACCTCAACCCCATCAAACACCATTGGGATGAATTGGAACGCCGACTGCGAGCCAGTCCTAATCGCCCAACATCAGTGCCCGACCTCACTAATGCTCTTGTGGCTGAATGGAAGCAAGTCACCGCAGCAATGTTCCAACTTCTAGTGGAAAGCCTTCCCAGGAGAGTGGAGGATGTTATATAGCAGCAAAGGGGGGACCATCTCCAAATCAATGCCAATGATTTTGGAATGAGATGTTCGACGAGCAGGTGTCCACATACCATGTAGTGTATATGACTATGTTGTCCAAGCGATACAGTAGCATAGGAACGCGAAGGCTAAGGGGGAGGATGAGTCAAAGGGCAGAGGGATGGATTTGAACCCATGCTGTGGCCTGTAATGTGGACCACATAGGCCCCAGCCTGTAATAAATCACTAATAAATCATCAATCATCATCAGGAAGCCTGTCAGTATAAACCATAGAGGAGTTGAGGAAAATTGAGAAAATGGAGCACTGTAAGGCTTCAGGTGTAATTTGATCACAATGTGAAAATAAGATTTTGCATTAACTTGTGATTAAGATGATGCAATTGAATTGAAATATCAATTTATCAATCTGAAATTGTTTCAATAGCCACATTCTAGAGCAGTGTCAATAATGCTGTTGTATTTGACCTTTAACCCACTAGAGTCGATGTCCGCCCCGCAGAAATCTAATTAGCATAATACAAACATCCCCATAAAAATATGTCAGTTTAAGCTGGAGATATCTGTTTTTGCATTGGATTCACACTAATATGACCCCTCTGTGGAAAGGTGAGACTCTCACGAACACATACATGTCGGTTGTTTTTCTCTAGGCCTCACAAGACTTGTCTGAAGGTCTGGAAGTATATATGGAGACTGTTTAGTGCCAAAAATTAATTAAATTCAATACATGTACAAAAAATAATAATAATGTTTCCTGATCTGTCTTATATCTCTCAGATATAGGACAGACACTTCAGAACAAACTTCCTTTTGATTTTTTGGGGGGACTATCTGTTGTTCCATGTAGTGAATCTGTTATTATTATAATAATTTGTTTTGGGGGGGAATCTGTTATTCAATATATGGGCTAATAGTAGTAAGGCCAAAAATGTTTCATCAAATATGTTTTTTATTTATTTTTTAATGTACTTCAAGGGGTCTTAAAATTCAAACTCAAATAGCAAATTGATCCTTGGTATGACCTTGTTAAAACAATTCCATATAGCTTAGTAGAAATTTGACGAACTGACTTGTTGGAAAGGTGGCATCCTATGACGGTGCCACGTTGAAAGTCACTGAGCTCTTCAGTACGGGCCATTCTATTGCCAATGTTTGTCTATAGAGATTGCATGGCTGTGTGTTCGATCTTATACACCTGTCAGCAACGGGTGGGGCTGAAATAGCCAAATCCACTCATTTGAAGGGGTGTCCACATACTTTTATATATATATAGTTTGTCTTAAACTTTGTTCTCACAGATGGAGAGACAGAAGTAGGGTTGGGAGGGAACTTGTACAATGCTCATAGGGTAGCCACAAAACAACCACATCCTCAGTGACACTGCAGCAGATGACGACTTTCAATTTGTCAGATATGTAATTGTGCCCTGAACTTCATCACTCAGTCTGTGACACAAATGAATGAATTAATTTGGCTTTAGAAATAATCGAACAATGATGCCATGTGGCATGGTTAGCAGAATCTATCAGAACCAATAAGGTAAGAATACTATCTGAATAGTATTTTTCTGAATAACATGAATAACATTGAAGTACAATATCCTTATTCTATTGTTAGCGTTGTCTATCATTACATTTCTTTGTGTGGGATTTGGTGTTTTTGTAAACGCATTTGTTGCTTCCATTTCTGGACTTAACCTTTGCTTGATATGAAAGTGATAGTCTTGAATTAAACTTGTTCCTTCTTCTCGACTCCAATAAATTACTATATATTTGTTTCATACACTTCCAGTAATGGTTACTTTACTTCAAGTAATGAACTCCAACACAAGGACAAATGTGATTTCTTGTTTTTCAGGCTTTCAGGTGCCATTGGTGATATCAGTTATTGAGCAGAACAGACTACTGTCCATTGTTGCCCTCATGGCTTTGAAACAACTGCTAATCACCTCACTGGTGTTGTGTTACCTGATTCAATACGGTAAGTTACACTTTTTCTCATCTATTATTTGTGCTACATATTGTATTGAATTTCAAGTGATGTATTTTCTCAAACACATATCTAGATAGTTATCCCCTATGAGTAGTAATTTGTTAGATTAGCAGGAAATGTTTTACCACATCAGGGTACCAGCAGAGCCTTATATAGACTATGAGTCTGGGCACCATGGCACTGGCATCACACTGACCACATCATCCTTTTCCTCTGCATTCACAGTTGCATGTTTCTGCAATGTCACCTGCACCACAGACTACATGACATCCCTGAACTGCTCCTGCTCAGGCACAGTGCCCTCATCTCCCATTCTCCTTGAGGCAGAGTGCAGGTACACACTGTTCTCTGTCACTGCTGTGCTTCTGGCCTTGCTCCGATAGGTTTAAGAGATCACGTTTATACATGTTTATGTACTGTAAAGTTTAAACATTTAATTTTAAGAAAAACATCTGAATGTTACATCAACCTTTTCATATTTGTTTTTTGTTTTCTCACAAAAGCTGTATTTGAATATTATAATCACTCTTCTCTCTTTTCAGAGATTTTGACGGGCAAGTGAATGATAGCTGTGAAATAACACCCTCACAAAGCTGGTGCATAATACAACCAGAAGATTTTTACATGTACATATCCTCTGACACTACTTGCACTGCAAGAGTAAAGCACACAGGAAAAGAAGACAAAATGAAAACGGATGACTCAACTGACTGGAAATTGTATCAATTAGGTAAGTGGAGTAGGCCTATGTCTTAGGATGGTTGGTACTTTCCCCTGAACATCGCCTCTGATTCAGTGACAAGATATGACATGAATAAGAAGTGTTTATCATTAGCAGTAACATAATCTTATCAACCACTTACTGGATTGAGTATGGTGTCTTAAGACCTATTCTGCTGTGACACATTTTTATCAACAGTTTTGAACTTTGCACAGCTTTGAAATGACAGTGTTGAACAGTCTTTACAATGAGGATTGTTGTGTGGTGGGGACTGTGTGTCCTGGGTTCTTATGTATCACCCCCATTTGAAAGCTAATATGGTACAAATGATTGAGCTGTGTGCACTTGAATCCATGCCTTTTTCATATAATGGTTCCAACCCAAGCTTCTCTGCCTTTTCTTCCATAGTGAAGCCGCAGCATCCTGTCAATGTGCAAGTAACAGAGAACATTGACAGCTACAACATCACTTGGCAGATGGATGAAAACACTTACCTTGATAAACTGTTCATGTACAGGGTGCGGATTAGAACAAAACATTATTTAAAGGTAAACTAAATATATTTGCTATGTTACATGTTTCCAATAAAATGTTACAGTATGTGAAAGACCAGTTCCCTCAAACTGTTAAATATGAGTTTTTCTTTTGACCTACAGGATCCAGTCTATTACCCTGTAAGAGAGGACCGGAGGTACCAAGTGCTAAACAACCTTACACTGCAACCAGGAACTGACTATGTGGCAAATGTCCAGGCCTCAGTGAACCCTGTGTCCAACTACCAAGGTCCCTGGAGCGAATGGAGCTCCACCGTAGAATGGAGGACTACAGGTACATCAATGCAGCAAGTTGAGATTTTACTGATCTGCGTTACATGCTCTTCCTGGATATATTGGATTGGGACTTCATTTTTCAGGTTATAGTAATGTATGAAATGGAGTAAAATGTTTATCTCTTTCTATACACTATGTGTATATTTACAGAAGGGGATGATAAGTTTTGGTGGCAGTGGCCCGTTTTACTGACCATTGTCCCCTGTTTGATCCTGTGCTGCCTGTGCTACCTCTTTAAAATGTGAGTATGCCTTATTTATGATCATTCAGGCAACAGTAAGTGTTTGCTATTGAACAGTGTTTTTATACAGATAAGCATTTTTGATCAGACACCAACTTGTATCCTCAATTTCTTCAGGTCTGCCAATAAATCACATGTTCTAGCCTGGTCACCATCATATATGCTATATCCAACTTCTCTGACTTTCGTCAGATGCCTTGAACAAACACAACAGTTGGCTAAAGCACAAATTGATCTGTGAACAGGCTAGAAATGTTCAGCCTCTTGGTGTTTTTACAGAAAGCGTGAATAGACTACACTTTCCTGACATAACCTCCCACATACACAGACACCACAGCTGATGCTCTTTACTTGCAGATACACCATGTAGATATAGGGGTTAGAAGACACAGGAAGTCAGAGCTGCTTCTACATTATTATTACACCAAACCTAACCAACGATAGCACGGTGGAAGTGTCAGACACTCTAAATGACACCATTTACCCTTTAAAACATATTATAACACCTGCATAGAGAAAAATTCCATCCTCCCAGAAATGAAAAGTGAAAGAGTATTTGTGAAGACCTGAATAGTTCTGCTTATGTCACCTTCACATGCATTACATTCACATATCATTTCCTTTGTGAAAACATCTTTGCCTGTTTGTCACTTTGCCTCTACATCTCTTCCCTGCAGATTGTGGCCGAAGAGGCTACACTTGATGAACTATTCCCCAAGCCCAGAGGACTTTTTCAAGCCTCTCTACCACACATATGGAGGGGATTTTAAGGTAAAAATACAGGCAAAACTAAAATAACTCATTGTGTATGCGGGACTTGTTCTAAACCCCTCCAGCAGGTGTTGCCTATAGGGGGAACTTCAGCATGGCCAACAATGGGACTTTCCCATTATCAAATCCCACAATGACTACACATATGAGGGGGGCATTCAAATGACTCAGTCTGCAGGGGCTTCAAGGGCTTGTTTTTCAACTCATATGTGGGTGGATGCTCAGTAGAAGTTGAGTTGATGTACTACATCAGAGCAGTTCACCCCCCAATGGAAAATACCACAGGTAGAAATCTAAACTCAGATGTTTGCTAGGGTTATATTTAAATATTTTCCGCTTAGAGGAGTATTTTATAAATATTCCAGAAAGTCAGACAGGTTTGGGTAACCACTTATCTTTTTAGATTTGTCTTTTTTATTTATTATTTACAAAACAAATGACACTCTTATGAAGGTGTCATATTCACTATGCTTAGTGAATAGTAAAAACATATCATTTTTAACTGTAAAAATGTATTGCCTTTTAATGTGTCATGAATACAACCAGGCATGAAAATATGCTAGACAAAGTGAGATCTTTTTGTGTAAGTAAAATGAATTATGCGAGAAATGTCGGTGGAAACGCTTTTCTGTGCAAATATTGATATAATAACCATCATTTCGAAGTTAACTTGGAGTCACGCGATAACATGTTGTGTGTTCCTCCCACTATGACTTGTCGGGAAATCAAGCAGTTTAGTTTATTAAACTACAGATGAAATACATTATGATTAACTTCACAGGGTGGTGAAAGTGCAAGGTTATGAGCTTGATGCTTCTTTCCAATAAATAGCTAGGGTCTTATTCAGGTGACATGATAGTCGATGCTTGGCTGCCGTTTGAAAAATGTTAATAATCTCGCTCTTGTCCATATAATCGCACCATGTAGGGTATAAATGCGCTCTAGCCAACAGCGCGCAGATAGCGCTGTTGGCTAGAGCAGTGAGTGGTTCCCAAACTGTGGGGGAACGCAGTCGGGCTTTTAATGTACTCTTGAAAGCTGTAATTCCATCCTGTAGCTCAGTTGGTAGAGCATGGCGCTTGCAACGCCAGGGAAGTGGGTTCGATTCCCACGGGTGGCCAGTATGAAAAATGTATGCACTCACTAACTGTAAGTCGCTCTGGATAAGAGGGTCTGCTAAATAATGTAATAGTAGGTCTAATTCCGAAAATGGGTAGTGCATCATCAATTTTCCTCTTGTCATTGCATACCTTAGAGAGTTATTTATAACTTGTTATAAATGTCCATATCAACTAGCCCATGTCAGCTAATGTTTTTTTGCTAGATTTTTTAGCCCATAGATTTTGTAGTAATGTTCGAGTCAATCAAATATCACATGCATACACATTAGACATGGCAAAATGTATAGAATTACAAGAAAATGAGCTTTAAAACTGCTAAATGCTCTCTGCAACCCATGACAAAATGTGTAGAATAAAGAGGGGTTTGTGTGATGAACAGTACTTGTGCACACATAAATAGACGTGGGATGGGGGGGCCTGAGTGAAAAAGTTTAGGAACCCCTGGGCTAGAGCACACGTGTCAATACCAGAGAGGGCACACTATATTTACATTTGGCAGACACTTATCCAGAGTGATTTACAGGAGCAATTAGGGTTAAGCGCGTTGCTCACATGTACATTACCGATTTTTCACGTAGTCGATTTGGGGATTTGAATCAGCGACCTTTCGGTTATAGGCCCAACGCTCTTAACCGCTAGGCTACCTGCCACAAGTTATCATGGAAATTATTTTGTGAAAAAAACATGAGTTGAAAATGCGATGGAAACCCATTTAACTTGTATTTTTTATTGGGTACATGGGAATTTAAACGCAAAATGTTTTTTTTATGTGCACTACATCATCATGCACAGCCTTTTATCTGCAACAAGTCAATTTGATGGAAACACATCTCTGGTGGGAAAATGCGCATATTTGTTTTATGCAGATTTCTTAATATTCGCATGAAGATCTGTAGCCAATTTCTTCAAAAAGTAGGCTACCTGCGCACGTTTGTCCACAAAATAATCCCAGCATCCAAACAGTGCACTGTGCCATTTGAAGAATGGAAAGAGACATCTGTTAGGCTACAAAACACCAAAAAGTGCAATGACATTTAGTGATTGTCATAATAGGTCTACTCTTGTAGCCTGATGCGTCTTGCTGCCCACTCGCGTCTCGGTCTCGGCCTCGGCCAGTCATCTCTGCCTTGGCAAAATGTCATTGTTCACATCTAACCTCACAGCGTTTTGGAGCGTAGGCCTATACCACACGTTTTTAAGTAAATTCGCTCATTTCTATTGCGACTGACAGGCGGTAATGATACATTATGGTGTAATAGCCTACAGTTTTCTTGCTATCTTTGTTTAAATTGTTGTGATGGGCTAATGTTTTACCGGTATGGCTTACTGCCACTATTTACCATACCGGCTTACGTTCACGCCTGACTATAATTATATCCTGATGAAGGAAACAAATGTGTTGATAAAAAAAATAGCAAGATCAACAGCCTCTGCCACCTAGATCTAAAGTGTAATCCCATTACCGTGTATCATCAGGGGCCTCATTTATCAACTCTACTTACATTTCTTACTAAATTATTGCATTCGTGGAGGTTCTAGGATTTGTGTATGCAACAAAATATATAAATCAGAGCCATACTATATTTGTGAACTCGGGAACGAGCGCTACAATCCCACCTGGAAAACGCCCTCCATTCACTTTTTATGGTAACAAAAATACCATAATTTGCTGTATGGTTTGGAAATGTTGGAACTAGGCCATGTCCGTTTCTAATTTACAAGAAAGTGCAATAGCAAATTTGATCACATTTCTGTAGAGGTGTGGGCAGAATGTTTTAACCGATCTGTTCCAAAAAATCCCAGACATGCAAATGCAAATCTAATGTCATTAGTAACCCTTAGTGTAATCCATATTGCTTTTTTATTATTATTGTATTGAGAAAAGTACAGTGCCTTCAGAAAGTATTCACACCCCTTGACTTTTTCCATATTATGTTGTGTAACAGCCAGATCTTTTAATGGATTAAATTGAGATTTTTATTTTGTCACTGGCCTACACATATCAATGTGGAATTATGTTTTTCGAAATGTATTAACAAATCAATTCAAAATGAAAAGCTGAAATGTCTTGAGTCAATAAGTATTCAACCTCTTTGTTATGGCAAGCCTAAATAATTTCAGGAGTAAAAATGTGCTTAACAAGTCACATAATAAGTTGCATGGACTCAATGATTTTCGATTTACTACCTCATCTCTGTACCCCACACATATAAACAATGATCTGTAAGGTCCCTCAGTCAAGCAGTGAATTTCAAACACAGATATAACCACAAAGACCAGGGAGGTTTTCCAATGCCTCACAAAGGGCACCTATTGGTAGATGGGTAAAACAAAAAGCAGACATTGACTATCCCTTTGAGCATGGTGAAGTTATTAATTACACTTTGGATGGTGTATCAATACACCCAGTCACTACAAAGATACAGGCATCCTTCCTAACTCAGTTGCCAGAGAGGAAGGATACCTCTCAGGGATTTCATCATGAGGCCAATGGTGACTTTAAAACAGTTACAGCGTTTAATGGCTGTGATAGGACAAAACTGAGAATGGATCAACAACATTGTAGTTACTCCACAATACTAACCTAATTGACAGAGTGAAAAGAAGGACGCCTGTACAGAATATAAATATTCCAAAACATGCATCCTGTTTGCAACAAGGCACTAAATTAATACTGCAAAAATGTGGCAAAGCGATTAACTTTTTGTCCTTAATACAAAGTGTTATGTTTGGGGCAAATCCAATACAACACATTACCACTCAATTTTTGTGGCGGCTGCATCATGTTATAGGTATGCTTGTAATCGTTAAGGACTGGGGAGTGTTACATGATAAAAAATAAACTGAATGGAGCTAAGCAAAGGCAAAATCTTAGAGGAAAACCTGGTTCAGTCTGCTTTCCACCAGACACTGGGAGATTAATTCACTGTTCAGCAGGACAATAACCTAAAACACAAGGCCAAATCTACACTGGAGTTGCTTACCAATAAGACAGTGAATGTTCCCGAGTGGCCGAGTTACAGTTTTGACTTAAATCTACTTGAACATCTATGGCAAGACCTGAAAATGGTTGTCTAGCAATTATCAATAACCAATTTGACAGAACTTGAAGAATATTGAAAATAATAATGGGCAAATGTTGCGCAATCCAGGTGTGGAAAGCTCTTAGAGACTTACCCAGAAAGACTCACAGCTGTAATCGCACAGTTGATAATGTACGCACAGTTGATAAATGAGGCCCCTGATGATAGAATTGCCTTTGGCAGCGATTACAGTATTGACTCAGGAGTGTGAATACTTGTGTAAATTAGCTATTTATGTATTTCATTTTTAATTATTTCACTTATTCATTATGAGGCATTGTGTGTAGATGGGTGAGTAAAACATACATGTAATCCATTTTGAATTGAGGCTGTAACAACAAAATATGGAATGTCAAGGGGTATGAATACTTTCTGAAGGCACTGTATGTGAAAAAGGTATGTGATATTGGGAACATACAGTGCTATGCCTATAATAAAATTAACAGACATGAACCCCTATTCCTCAGCCCCAATATCTATGTACCTCAACCCAGTAACCCCACACACACCTAAACCCAATTACCCACACACCCCAACCCTGTTACCCCAATGCCCTTACCCTAAGACCCTCATGCCAATACCTTAATATTGATACAATCAAGTCCCGATACACCTGTATCCTAGCCCTATAAGTCCTATTTCTTACCCATAGACCCCAGTTCCTTTGCCAAAATACCTCATCCCTGTTACTTGCTTATCTCAGCCCTGTTCCCCACTTTGCCTAGGTCTGTATTCCCCCAAGTATTCCGCTAATCATGTCATAGATAAATGCATAATACAGTGGTATAACACATATGCCCCAGCCCCATTCACTTTTTTTCCTACCACAAACTTGCTGCCAGAAAGTATTTGAATAGGCAAATCGACATCCATCCAGACCCATTGCCTTTATGAGCCTTGTGTATCCCTACA